AAGCAAATTTGTGTACATTGAAATGATGACATGTGTGCATTTCTTTGTGGGTGTGTCACAGGAAAGAGGTTTATGAAGGAACATGTATGGTACCATGATGCAATTGTATTCCTAGTCAAAGTCAAATTTCGGAAATGTGATTTTTCACCTCTGTTTCATAAAGTAAAAAATGAAATAGTAGTCCATAGCTTTCAGGCATCTTGTTGTTCATAGAGGTGACAAATAAAAGTGAGTTAGACTGAACTTATTTGCAAACTTGAAAAAATACTTTTTCTAGAATTTTGAGCTGCAGATTGTTTTGAATCACTTTGAGTTTATAAACTCCTGATATTTAATATCACTGGGTTTAGTATATTTTTATTCCCCTTGTCACTCTGAAAACAAATGCAAAGCATTTCTTTCTGACAATCCTCCCGCCTCCCCATAGGAATGTCACATGTGGCAGATGCTCCTCCCCTCTGCTCAGAAGTTGAGGGGAAAAAGGGGGTGAAGGGCCATGAAGGAGAAACGTGATTGAGTATGTGGGAGAGGAGTTAGAGCAGGAGAAAGCTGGGAGGTGTGTTGCTCTGCTGCTGCTGGTTAAATCTACTCCAAATAGATGCAGTTTCCTCAGTCCCGCACGGTCAGGAGACTGCTTTGAAACTTTCAGTATTCAACTTTTCTTCCTGTGTCCATGCTGATTCTCCACCAGGGAGGAGGAGACGCTCTTGTCCTCCCTCAGCTCATCCATTTGTTCTCTGCAGAACCGTACCCTTTCATGTTTCCTTAAAGACCTCAAATTCTGGTGACCCAAGATAGACGACTCCCTGCATCTGCAAGTCAGATGTTTCTCACTGTGAGTTATTTCTACAGCTAAAAATTTGGGGCTGTTCCTGGAATACGTCTGGTGTGTTTCATCCAAGTTAGTACTGTGCTGTCATTGAAAAAATGAAGGCTGAGGTGCTGATATTGTGGGTCGGCTTGACTTTGTGCTGCACCCTGATCTGCGGTCGAGAAGATGTGGAGAAAAACAAATTCGCTGGAGTTCAGGTGAGAGAACCTCAAACACTGACCAAGAATAGGAGACAAGCAGAAGAAGTGGATGCTGAAATGTTAGACAAGCTGACTGAAGTGGTGGAAGACGAAAAGACAAAATCAAAGAAGAAAAAGAAAACACCTGAGGAGATTGAAGCAGGTATGTGAAAGCCCCTAAACTCAGGCACTCAAAGAACAACATTCACATGACTTTAAACTATGACTGAATGGATACAATATACAAGATTATTCTTGACCTTTCCTTGCCTCTGTTTCCTTACCTCTATGTTTGAGTTTCCAATCAAAGCTTGCAGCCAAAACACTCAGGATAAACAGACAGGAAAGGCTGCAATCAGCCTTTGAGGAAGGAACATTTAGTTTGGTTTACCTATACTTTCTTTATAAGCTAGGGAATTTGGAGGAAAATATCTCTGTGACTAAGGAATGATGGGGCAGAAACTTGCAGTGATTCAGTTGGTGGTCTGACATTTTCTTGGCAGTGTGACCGCAATGTTGCTTACATGACCTAATTTTTCTGCCAGGATTACATAGTTAAACATCAGTGTGTTTTGTTCAGCATAATTATCAGAAAATCAACCTTTACTGTGAGAATGGCATGCCTCTTTAAATTATATCTATAAGAAAGGCACATCTGCGAAAAACACAAAGCATGACAAACTGCAGAAAAATTTCCACTATGATTTTCCACAAGTGAGCAGGCAGGATTTATGAGAGGACCCATTTTCAGTAGCATTTATGCATGCTAACTTTCTGCTGCATGAAGCAAAACCACAAGCACAGCAGCAGAGTTGTTTTTTCATGTGTGGCTGATTTAGGTTAGATAAAAGGCCAACTAACCCAGAGATCCAAAGTGATTTTTCATTTCTCGAATTTTGTTTGACTTGAGACAGCTGTGCTGAGCATGCAAATCGGTATCAGCTGTGATTGACAGTAAAACCTCAACATTCACTCCCAGTTTTTAAGTGAATTGCTCAACAGAATTTCAGCTGCAACTAAGAATGGAGACACTGCTACCATTTTTTTATTTGAGGTGGTGGGGGAGGGCTGACTTTATTTCACAGTTTAGCAGTGAAGAGTAGACAGGAAGGAGGAGGCGAGAGCAAAGGAAGAGACACAGCAAAAGCCTGCAGGTTGGACTCAAACCTGGGCTAACGTATTTCGGCATTAAGAACAAAAACCAAACAAAATACCCAAGCACAGGGATTAGGAAGACTAAAGAATTTAAATAGGCTTCACCAGGGTACAGAAACTATACACTACTAGGACATGAAGCTAAACACATTGGGAGCTAGGAGACACTATGGCAAGGAGACCAGATGTTCTGACAAAGACAAAGGGGAAGACAGCAACTATAAGTACTCTAAGGGGTGATATGCTTAGGAACTGAACTTAATTAGAAAAACAAGACATGTGGGAAGTAAAGATAAACACTAAGTGCAAGAGACTAATGACTAACAAGGTAAAACACAAAGTAAAGACATAGACAGCAGACTCTAACATGCAAACTTGAAAACAGGATAAAAGAGAGGTATCAAAACTGAAAACTCAATTATTTAAATCTCAGCTGTAACGAAAGAATTCAAAAGCTATACTAAAAGTAAGCAGACCTAAGAATAGACTGAATTGTGTAAAGTATTTGCTCACCCATTCAAATCCCTGAATTCAGGTGTTCAGATCACTTCTATAACCTCAGGTGTATATAATCAAGCACCTAGACAGGCAAGGCTGCTTTTACAAACATTTCTAAAAGAATCTCTCACAAGTTCTGAGGAGCTCAGTGAATTCCACAGTCAACTTTTAGTGGTATTATAACAAAAGTGAAGTGATTGGGAAAGACAGCAACTCAGCCACGAAATGGTTGGCCACATAAAATCACAGAACAGACTCAACAGATGCTGAGGCTTGTAGTACATGGAGAACACCAACTTTCTGTAATGTCAGTCACTACAAACCTCCAAATTCCATGTAGCCTTCAAATGTGCTCAGGAACAGTGCAAATAGAGCTTCATGGGATGGATTTTTATGGCTAAGTAGCTGTATCTGAGCTTTGCATTACCAAGCACAATACAAAGCATCAGATGTTTGGCCATCTGGCAATCTGACAGGCATGTTTAGGTATGATGTTTGGCATGAGAACTATACCTGTCTGACTGTATTATCCCACAGCACAGTGCACAGAGGTCACCAACTTTCTGTAGTGTCAATCACTATAGATCCCCAAACTCCATTTGGCCTTCAGATGAGCTCAAAAACAGTGTGTAGAGAGCTTCATGGAATAGCTTACCACAGCTGAGCAGCTGCATCCAAGCCTTACATCACCAAGCCCAAAGAAAAGCATTGGATGTAGTAGTATAAAGCACACCACCACTGGAAACTAGAGTAGTGGACATGTTTTCCATCTGGCAAGCCGATGAATGAGTCTGGATTTGGTAGTTTCTGGGAGACAGTACTTGTCTGTCTGAAGTGTGCTAAATGTAAAGTTGGGTGAAGGGGGCATTTTGGTGTGGTGTTGTAATTGTGGTGTTGTATTATGTAATTGTGCAGTAATGATGTATAGTAATTATGTTTGGCCTCTTAGTTCCAGTGAAACAAACTCTTAATGTTTCACCATACACTCAAGTTCATATGTGTGTGCAGACAGATGAGCAAATATGCTATATAGCATATAAAGATAATTAAACAACTAAGGCCTAAAAGTGAAATAATACAAAACTCAAAATACTACAACAAAAGAATCCAAAATTCAAACAGTGAAATTAACAGCTGGTGCCCTAGAATGAGACAACTCCCAAAACATGAATGCTTTTACAAGTGGGGGCCACTGGCCCAAACCCTTTCCCCCCCTCACTTTTTTTTCACTGTTTCATTAGTTTTGCGTTTGCCTAGGGTCACAGTCACTACTGGTAATATAAAACAACACCTTAACCCTACAGAGGCGGCAGAGGAGCCCCATTTCTTCCAGGAGGTCCCATTAATACATGCCATTGCTAGAACTGTCTCTGAGTACAGTTTTCAAGAACATGGAGGATATTGCAGGAGACAGGCATTTACTCTAGGAGAGCTGGA